AGTTAGCATGTAGATTAAGTTAGGAATGGGAGGTGATCCCATTAACTCAATCTGGGGGCAATTAGGCCCTTGATAGACACAAATTGGGCCAAATGGATCAACCCATTCGGACCAGAATTCCTGCCAGGCGGTGGCATCGCTAGGGTTGGAGATGGTCTCCCAGGAAAGCTGGGCGGTGCAACCACCCCAGTCAGGCAGTGGCACCGCCTGGGCTTAGTCTCCGAGCGAGACTGGGCGGTGCAACCGCCCCTGTCAAGCGGTGGCACCGCCCAGAGGCTTAGTCTTTGAGTTGTCAAGCGGTTATACTACCCCAGTCAGGAGGTAGTACCGCCAGGACCCCGGAAATCCGGGAGATGATATTTTTGAGCTCCAAATTCAAACCAGTTTGGGGCCTATATATACCCCACCCTTTTCTACATGAAAGGGCACCGAAAATCCAATCTTACTCTGTGATTTTTAGAGCTCAAAAGTGTTGTAAAGGCTAGAAGTTCTCCTCTCTCTTTTCTTCCAAGTTTTGATCTTTCAAGAGATGAGAGAAATTTTTGTAAGGGTTGTCTCCTAAGCCTGTCAAAAGGAGTGAAACTGTAAAAGGGTGGTTAGCCTTCGCTTATTGAAGGAAGGCCTCTAGTGGATGTCGGTGACCTCATCAAAAGAGGAAGCCAAAAGTGGATGTAAGTCAAGATTAACCGAACCACTCTAAATCTCGGTTTGCATTTACTTTCTGTTCTCTATCTTAACTGCAAACTGCCTCCATAGCTTTACTTTAACTGCACTTCGCCTAATCTAAGTTAAAGCAACTTCCAAATCGGCTTTCATACCGAAATCGTTTTTATCGTACGAACATCGTTTTAAATCGTCGAAAGTTTTCCACTACACTAATTCACCCTCCCCCCCCCCCTCTTAGTGCTCTTGATCCTAACAAGAACAAGTCATTGACATGTGAAGTGGTTCAGCACTTTAAAATATTTTATTAATCTCATCTAAAGATATTAAAATACTGATTGCCATAGAATGAGGGTTGAGTCAATTATACTTTTAATAAAGTTCAGTTAAGTTAGGACAAGTATCTTAAATAGTGACAAAGGTACTATAAGAACTTCACCTACATCAACTTAAAGATGGTGTCGTTTCAATTGAAAGCTGGAGTTTCTCTCATAAAAGTTTATGAACTTGGATAAGCCCAAGGTCATATTAGGGCTGAGAGAATTTGTAAGGAATATAAGAATGTTGTATTTATGTGTGTGGTGTCACCGGTGTTGCCACTAGAAATAACGAATTTAAAGCCGCTATGCTATGTGGGATTTCGATTTCACTTTGTGATACTTACAGTAAGGTAATATTTAAATCGAAAGATATATTACTTTATTCATAAATGTAATTTAATCACTTAGAGATTTTTTTTTTAATATTTGAATAAGTGGGGGATTGCTATAAATTATACAAATATAAAAAAAAATATAGTTTTTTTATAGTTATTAGACGTATAAAAGGTAGATTTTTTAAAATTTATTTTGGTAGTTATTTATCAAATTTTATATTTTTTAAAAATATCTATAAATAGATATTTGAGAATAAATTATAAGGAACATATCTTTTTTTTATTTTTTTTTCTTAACTTCAAAAATAACTCTGATTGAATTAGATATTCTCTAATTCTTTTTTGAAGATTCTTTATTGTTTGATCAATACAGATCTTCTAAAGGATTGGCATATCCACTAAAAATATTTACATTAAATTCATAATAATCTTTTTGAGAAAATGATGCAAATATCATTTTTAAAAAAATATTTATATATATTTCTAGTCTAAATACATTTCTAATAGTTGATTTTAGAAATGTATTATTGATCTTGATCTTGTATTTGTTATTTATAGTTGATTTTAATAGTATTATTCATCCTCTTTCTTGTTATCTTTTCCAATTCGATTATTCATCCAGAAGACCATGGCTCAATGTAAAGGGTCTTCCCTTCTTTTTTACAATGACAAAGGGGGAGATAACTAGTTTGCACAAGTCAAGAAGATGCAAAAACTTGATTGCTAGCTTGCCTATCTTAAGTAACAAAGATTGCTAACTTGCTTATTTCAAGAAGCAAAAGTTGTCTTCTTGAACATCACTATCTTACCTATCTCAAAATATAAAATATGCTAACTTGTTACAAAAGCAAAATTGCTAGCTCAAACATTGCAAAGGAAGCAAAAATTTGCTAGCTTGAAACTTGCATATCATGAAAATTTGCTAGCATGTAGTCTAAAGAGAAGCAATTAGTTGTTATCTCAAGAAAAGCAAACATGCTAAACTTACACATCTTTAATTGCTAGATTGCATGATGATAAAATTTGATATTATGTTTTTCATGTAATGTATGGAACTTTTTATCTCTAAACACATAAGAGTAGGAACTTCTCCTTTTTGTTGATGACAAAGAACTAAACAAAGGCGGGTGAGCTCAAGACGAACATAAGTGAAGCAATATATTGGTAAGAATATTTAGTAGTTTGTCTATATTACCATTTGTAAGTACTAAATCTAAAAAAGTTGATCTCTCTCTTCTGATTTTTCATTGATTCTAAGTTGGCCCAGACGCACAAGAAATCCTTGCATCAAAGTATTGATCTCGACTAAGCCATGAAGCTTAACATTTCTCATATGAATATTAATTCTTCATGTTATTGATGTGTCTTGGTTGTTCCAATCAACGTGGGAATCAATGTGCCCGATAGTGAAATATGATGCGAGGAGGTCAAGGTTGAGCTCGACGAACTTTTGAAGGGAAAACCATAAAAGATCCGTGTATATAGATAGATAGGTGTGATCAAGGGTCTCGACATGTTGGAATTATAATATAGGTCCAGAAAAGAAATCCATCCAAACCCCCGGTACTAGCGACAACTCGTGATGGGATTCACTAATTGATCAAGAGAAGATGGTGAAGGGATGGTTTGCATGGCAATACGAGACTTACAACGAGAGCTCCGAATTTGCCAAGGTGACCTCCTTCTTTGCCGATCGACAGGTTTTGTCGAATCGAAAGCTCTATCTTCTTCTCTAACGTGTGTCTGATGCTTCTTCTTACCCTTGGCAATGGGAGAAGGAACGCGCACGCTGCTCGCAGATGCTTTGCATGGCATTACGAGGCTGATGACGAAGAGCTTGGAATTTTCGAAGGCGGCGTAGTTCGTCAATCAACACATCTTGCTGCATCGGAAGCTTCGCCTTCTTTGATGTCTGATGATTCTTCTTGCACATCGCAACGGGAAAAGAAGGAAGCACACGCTACTCGTACAAGTCTCTAGGCTTGGCCATACCCTAAGATTCCATGGGAATGAATGGAGGTGGAGATGGCGCAAGATAAGGGAATGTTGGAACGCCTGCACTTGTTTCTTACTCATATTTACCATAAGAGTTAGAAAGAAAGCGAGGCAAGTGTGCTAACCACTTGTATGCACAATTTCTGTGATACAAAAGTTCACCAGTATTATCTATGTATGATGTATGCATAGTGCTTGTGATCAGAGAACCAACGATAAAAGTGTAGAAATTAAAAGATTGGAGGATTGATAGCGTTCTTCTTCTTCTTCCTATGCTACGATGAAGACGTGTGACGTCACGCTCGGTCGTTCCCTCTTTCTATGTCGAACAAAAACTCACCTGCAAGTCCTATTACCTCTATCTAGTAAGGGGGCTAATATTATTGTTGGAGGCAAAAAGTAACCGAGCATAAACACTCATTGAAGTTTGTACAATAATAGTTTTTTCACTCATTGAAGTTAGACAACATTCTCTTCTGTTAATTTTTATCTACTTCATCATCCATATCAGCACCACCCACACCACCTACTCATATGTCCTCAAAACATATATTAAACCGAACCAAATAGCTGCCTGGGAGGGGTAAAAAGATAAAAGTTGTCGATCAACAAATGGTGGGTGGTCTATGAAAATTTGAAATTTTTTGGAAGTAGGGGCATTCTAACAAGAATTTATCAAAGACTATAGGAGTTTTTTTTTTTTTTAGAATTCGCCATTCATTAAATAATAATAATAATAATAAATTTAAAATTTATATTAAGTTTTTGAATTAATTAAAATATGTATCTATGCATTCATTGTATGTGGAACATAATAAATAACATGAAATATATTATATTATCGATGACAAAATATGAGATGCCTCCTAATCATCTTAGTTTTAATATTCATCTAATTAATAATAGACGAGATCAAATTTAATCCTAAGTTAGTTAACATGAGACATTTAAAATATTTATTCACCATCGAGTTGTCTTGATGATGTTTGGCAAGAATTTTTGATAAATATATGTGTCATGATGTTTAAATATTTCTCTTAATAATAATAATAATAATAATAATGTCAATTCTATGGAATATATCAAATGAAATATTATTTTAAATTAAAATGATATGATCGTCAACACAAAGGGATATTGATTTGGATGAGCTTTATAGAAAATACTCATATTTGAAGTATTTTTTTCAATCAATATTTCTCATTTCATTTTTTTCCTCAAACAGTATCCTTAATTTTGTTGTAGTGTTTTGAGAACAATGTAAAATCTATTTGAAAAACTGTAAATGATGTAAATAGACAACTAACCTCAATCAAATTAACTTTAAACCTAAAATTATGATATCATAATGATTTATAGGCAATGACAATTACACGATATGATATTATTTATAATATTATTTTAATAAAAAAATATTATAAATATTATTACAAAAAAGATTATAAATGAGTCAAATAAAAATATTACAATAGTTTAAAACTAATAAAAATATATATATGTAGAAAAATTTGACAAAAATTTTTTAAGAGATATTTTGAATATTTTTAAATTAAAAATATTATTTAAAAAAATAAAATTAAAAGAGAGGTTACCCCTTGAGAAATACTTAAAATATGAATATTTTTTAAGAAAAAAAAAAATTTATCGTATTAATTTCTCTAAAGACAGACGTATCTCCTCCGCCTCTCGTCCATCGCATGCCCCTTCTCCTCCCCAGTTCTCTCCTCCACCTTATCAAGAAGAAAGCAAAAGCCCCCCACTATCCATGGCGGCTTCTTCCTTCCTCCTCCCTTCCCTCTCCTTCGGAATCCGCAGAATCTCGTCCTCCAAGCCCCAAACCCAAACCCTTGCTCTCTCCTACGTTTCCTTCTCTTCGATAAAAAATGTCTCTTTTCCATCTTATAGTCCCTTTCCTCCGGTAAGAAAGGCGCCAGCTTTAGATTCGGGGTCCGTTCCCAAGGTGGCGGTGTCCTCGGATTTGGAGCAAGAAGAGGAGGCAGACCTGTCGAGTGGGGAGGAGGTGGAATTCTCGCCGGACTTGAAGCTCTTCGTCGGGAACCTCCCGTTTAGCTTCGACAGCTCCCAGCTCGCTGGTCTCTTTCAACGCGCCGGGAATGTCGAGATGGTGGAGGTAAAGCCTTTGTTTAAGTAACTTTTAGGTGAAATGTGTTGGGCTTTGCTTGGCTTGGTTTATCTTCGATGAACGCAAGCCTCATTCATGGGCATATCTCATCTGGCAGAAGCTGCAAGTGCCTGAACTTTCTTCCTGCTGCTTTAATTGTCCGGTTGTATTACGAGTGGTTTGGTAGTATTTCTAACATGTTTTTGTTCATTTTAACCCTTCATTCTAACATGCAGATAGCTGGCCAAATAGTTGGTTTACTTTATGCATTAGTTGAACATCAGGTTATTGTAAAAGTTGACATTTTGGTTGTTTACTTTGCAGGTTATATATGACAAGCAAACTGGAAAAAGCAGAGGATTTGGATTTGTGACAATGTCAACCGTGGAGGAGGTTGAAGCAGCCACTCAGCAGTTTAATGGTTATGTGAGTGAATCTATCAGTATAAATTTACAAATTACCTAAACGCTTGTATATGAAGATCAACAATAAGATGGTTAATATAGCAAAAGGTATCCCCTGCAGTTGGTTGATGGAATCTGACTTGCTCCTTTTTTTGAAGTTATGGTTTTAGTGATGGAGCAGTTCAAGGCATATACTCTTCAAATTTGTGACACATGATATTTCATGCCTAACCATATATTGCTGTTCCACTTTTCTTAAGGGCTAATCTTTAGTGAAAACATTAACAACGCTCTGCATTACTTCTCAGTCCAAGTTATGTGATACATGTAATGTTTTTGTTTCATAAACCTTTTACCTTTTTGCTTGTTACCATAACATGAGTATGAAAACCTAATTCGAACTAACATTAAGTGAGTCTTAAGTTCTAACTGATCATCAAATCCCACAAACCGATAAACAAAATTTGGAAATCTAAATTAAACAAGAGTTGGTTAAGATCTAAACCGGTGCTAATCTAGAGATCAGGAATGCATTAATTGCTGTTACTTCACTGGATTTTTTACCTGCAGTTAAGTTTGTAGCTGAGACTGCATTTCCTCTTCAACCTTATTTCTCCTTTTTGGTTCTTTAAGGGCTGGCTAATCTTCGGTAGAGTAAATCTGTGTATTTAGTTTACTATTAAATCTGAGTTATATAATGGATTACGATGTATCTTCACTAGCTAGCATGTGTTCCTCTTACTCTTTGCCTTATCTGCCAAAGTGACTTTCTCACTTTTCTCTTCTTAATTGGTTATTGGGTCTTTTGCAATTCATTTTCACTCATTTTGAATTATGTCTAATCAACCTGCAAAGAAAGATGTTCATGCATGTTTTCTTTCTCTGCATCTTTTTTATGCTGGTCATGTAAATGTTTGTGCTCCATATATGCATTAGTTCAATTAGTTTTCGCTTTGTGCCTGCTAAAGAAAATTGGCAGAGTAAGTGGAGGATTTACTGTAATTTTGGTTCTATGATCCGACAGACACTAGAAGGGAGGCCATTGAGGGTGAACTCAGGACCACCTCCACGAAAAGATGAGTTCCCATCTAGAGGATTCCGGGCTGGTGGTAACCTTGACATGGCAAACAGGGTCTACGTAGGTAATCTCTCATGGGGCATTGATGATCTGGCTCTTGAGACACTTTTCAGTGAGCAAGGGAAGGTTTTAGAGGCCAAAGTCGTTTATGATAGGGAGAGCGGTAGATCGCGGGGCTTCGGCTTTGTCACTTACAGCTCGGCTGAGGAGGTTGAGAATGCTATACAATCACTAAATGGCACCGTATGTCTTTATCTTCATATTTCTCTACTCGGACCTTTTGTTCTTTGTTTTGTACACAGTTGTTGATAAGGGAACATTATTTCTTATCATTATCTTTCTTAATACCTGTTTGTACACCTGCATATCCCCAGTATCACAGATCTGGGGAGGAGGATTCACATTCTAAAAGTTTCATAGTAGACAATGGACCAATTGGATTGACTGCTTACTAATATTAATATATATTTTGTATTTTTATTGATAATGTTCCATCGGACTAAGGCACATACCTTTTTTCTGTGCAGGACTTGGATGGAAGATCGATACGGGTTACAGTGGCAGAAACAAGGGCTAGACGCCAGTTTTGACCTTTGAGTTTGTTTGAAGTTGCAGAAAAACGCTGCTTCTTGTTATCGAGATCTTCCTTGTAGCTTCCACTTTGGAAACATTGCCCTGTTAATTCCATTTGGATGTTTTGGCTATGAGATGGTCTCTTGTATCAGGCTTGTATGTTTGTAGTGATGGAACTTACCCAGGCAGCCTATGGTTGGTCCCATGAATTATGGTCATTGGCATCCCTATTTGATGTGGATCATCCTATGTTTGAGATTGAGTAGATGAATTATCTTTTTGATGAAGAACCACCCGCAAATTTGTTTGGGTGATCAGGTGAAGAGTTACTCTCGAATTTGCATGGGTCGAGATGGCAAGCTTGGTTTGTCTGTTTTGATATTAGATCTCCGGAATAGTTTCTAATAGATTGAATTGTTTATAGTTTACAGGCAACAAATGCGTGCCACAGAAACTGTTTTGCCAGTATGTTTAGCATCTACTGAATCAAAGTCATCAGTTAGTTCACTCGAGCAATCCATGTGCAAAAACAATGGAAATCGAAAGCTTTCAAAGCTTAAAAGACAAAACAACATCAGCCTCGATTCTGACAATAATCATGCACTTAATATGAATCAAAGACTTTGGTATATGGAGTCTACATGCCGCAAAATATTAAGTTGGCTTCCTGGATGCTGTAAACAAACACCTGGTGATTTAAAGGTATACGCAGGATTCTTCTTGATGTTGTTTCATTCATGTGCATCTATCTCACTGGAAGTAATGCTTCTTCAACGAGTCAAAATTACCATAGTATATATATAATCATCTGGAAATTGGTGGCAATGTTTTACTAGAGAATTGAATCCAATATGATAGGTGGCCAAACCTCGACATTAATTTTATGAAGCAAAGACGATTTTATAGGTTGGAGGGGCTAATCATGGAAGATGGTCGACAGAGGTTACCATTAATAATAGCTGCTAAACAATATATATGACTTGGCTATGTACTTCACTCACGTGATCAATAATTATCTAAATCAAGAACGGATGAACATCAAAATACTACTGAATTGCTGCAGTCATTCAATTTTGCTGAGTTAGGTAAGTGTGCTTCATATTTCTATCATCCGAGAGTGAACCACAAACTGATTAAACCAAACGCATGCAACTACAAGGGATAATATAAAGAAAAAACAGGGAACATATGTAGCAGTCAAGCTCCTTACCGATTTACCTCCGAATTCATCATCATGTCTGAAGCAGAAATCTAATTAACCAGGTAGAATTGAAAAATAAATTGAGTTTTATTCATTTCACTATAATGCATAACCTTATCATCGTTTTCTCGATAAATTGTGTGGCATGCAACCTGTCCAACATTATTCTTGTATTGCATAAATTGTGTGGCATGCAACCTGTCCAACATTATTCTTGTATTGCATAAATTGTGTGGCATGCAACCTGTCCAACATTATTCTTGTATTGCTAATCTATGCTTAGTGTTTCCTGTCAGCTTCCTATAAATGGTCATGATGACTCCATTAGATGTACATGATAACTAAGTATACCTATTAATTTACTTTTGTCCAAACTTTCTATGTTGAATAAGATAAACCGTAAGACATTTCACTTGTGATTTTAGTATCGTGTATATTAGGTGATTATTGTCTAGCAAACTTAAGAAAGGCATCTTTAACAAAAAGACATTTTTCATTGTTCCATAATAATCCTTTATTGCACTTCAGATTGCTCACATGGAAAAGACTGACTGACTCCTAACCAAAATGACAAGATGCAAAAAGCAAGTAACAATTCAATCTATGTACCGACGGATCTAAATTACTGATGCTGGCCACCTTTCCATCCACCACGCTGACCACCACCACCCCTGCCATTGCCAAACTCTCTTTGTCCTTCTTGCATCTCTGCAACTTTTTCTGCTTTCATCTTCTGCACAATCTCAAGTATTTTGAGATTAAAGAAACGGTCTCGGACAAATTTCTTCTCCTCTGCTTGTATTCCATCTAAAGAAAAATCATGGAACAAATTACTTAGAAAGCACTAAGTAAATATTCAGTATTTCAAATATCACATGTCTCCAAAATTTAAGCGCCATAGTAGACATTCAATGAATAAACACTCTATGTATGAGTCTGTGGACTGGTTAGAAAACAAGAAATCTTTTGTTGCATTGCATCCTGATCTTCTGAACATAAATTACTGAAACAAACCAATACAATATTAAAGAGGATGAATGTACATCAGCTACAGCCATGGCTTCCTCTTCACTAACACCTTGTCCCTTGAGCTCCAAAACACGCCAAGCAAAAACTCGTGCTGGAGGAGGATCAAAACCACTTATCCTGTTGAAATAAGAGCAACTCATTACGATCTGTACTTCATTGCATTTGTTCAGCACTATTTGGAAGGAAAATCGGTATCGCAAAAAATCTGTCTAAAGTAACTCATTTCTACACAAACAGAATTAACTAAAAATTAATGCCAAGTTTCCAACCTTTTGAACTCAAACAAGAAAGCAGCTGACAAAAAACCATGAGGGGGATTACCTATAATTAAGATTTTGGTCATTGACTACAACAGTAAATCTAATTGTACCAATGATACCACTGCCAGTACAAATTTGTCAATCGAGCACATTATAACTACAAATTGAAACACTAAAACCCAAGGCTCTCACGATCAAATTACATACACATTAATTACAATCACTAGAGCACAAAAGGATAAGCAATCATATGTTAGGACCCTTTTATGAGTTTTTGAATAATGTTTATTGAGTTTGTTTAGTCCAATTATTTATTGAATCAGTTTAGTTCAGTTAGAATCAGGTAGAGATTTATTTAATATTTATTTATTATTAAGAGTCCAAATCCTGGTGGACCCTAGGTGGAACTCTATAAATAGTAGTGTAACCCTTTCTTTTTGGAAATCAATCAATCAATCAATGAAATATTATTCAATGTTATGAAAAAACCCTAGGAGGTCGATCCCCTCGAAGCGATCAAGGAGGCTGATCCCCTCGAAGCGATCATTCTCTTTTCTCCCCTTTCTTCCACGATAAGACCTTAGGGTCTTATCATTTGGTATTAGAACGACGATCCTTCGCGTTCTCGTTGTAGTGTTGCCGTAACTATAAAAAAAAAAAAGAAATTTACGTGAGGAAGGGTGAAGCCAACAGCCACGAATGCCGATCCTTCTTAACCGAGAAGGAACCTCTGCGTCCCGGCCAGCGACCACCGTTGCCCCTTCTCCACCGCTGTTGCTGCTGCCCAGCCAGCAGTCACCACCGCCGCCGCTGCCCCCTCGCTGCAGTTATCTTCATCCTAAAAAAAAAAAGGAGAGAAGAAGAAGAAGAAGCCGCAGCCACCCCTGCTTCCGACTAGCTCACCCACCGCCGCTGCTCTCTGGTCAGCGATCACTGCCGCCGCCGCTTCCCGGCCGAGGGACCACCACTACTGCCGCTGTTGCCTAGCCAACAGCCACCACTGCCACCGCTACCCCCACCCAGCCAGCGACCTCTCCTCCTCACTTCCCCATCTCGCTTGAGCGAGAAGGACCGCCGGCGTCGTTTCCTAGCCAGCGAACCACCCCATCGCCGCTTCTACTGTCGACGACGCTGCCCTAGTCCGCCATCGTGCCCGCCCCCCCTTGGGTCGCAACCGACGGTTGACGCAGCCCCTCCTTGCAGCGGTTGCAGAAACAAAGCTTCCTCTGTTGCTGCAGCCCCTCGTCGATCGCAGCCGCGACCCTCGTTGCCTCCTTCTCCACCCCCGCCGCTGCTCCCCAGCCAGCAACCTCCCCTCCTTGCGGTGACCAAAACAAGGCAACCGAGAAAGGGCTACTGCCACCATTCCCGGCCAGCGAACCACCCCCTAGTAGTGCCTAGCCTCGGCGACCCTTTGCTGCTCCTCGCCCTCGACGACCTTGCTCCCACCGCACCGCCACTGTTGCCTCTCAACCCCGGCAGCAACCTTCTCTTCTCGCAGCGATAGAAACAGAGCATTGTTTCTTGTTTCCAACCGCACCACCACTTCCTCTGCTTCCGGCTAGCGACCACCGTCGCCGCTTCGCTCCGGCCAACAACCACCGCTGCCACAGCCGCCCTCCAGCAGCACACGTAGGAAGTTCTTGCACGGTGCTGCCTCAAACCCGGCAACGCACACACTGACTCCCCTTTTCAACCTGGGCCGCTTCAACGCCGCCCTCCCCCGCTGCTGTTTCCCGACCAGCGGACCAAACCCCTCATCGCTTCTACCGTCGGCGACATTGCCCCCAACCACGCCACCATCGCTGACTCTCCTTGGATCACAGCTGCAGTCGCTCGACCATCCCTCCTAACGGCAATCAAAACAAGGCAACCACGACCGCCGCAGCCACCGTCGTTTCCTCAACTGCACGCGATCCCTCGACGTCATTAGCGCCTCCTTCTGCAGTGCGATAGAGACAAAGCAACGCTGCCTTCCATCCGCGCCATCGCAGCCACCGGCGCTCTCACCCCATGCAGCTGCAACCATACCGACGTAGTCGCCTTCCAGCCCCCGGCGCTCTCACCCTACGCAACGACAGAAACAGGACAGCAACTCTTCCTCCAACGCCACGACCGCAGCACTACCCTCGACGTCCGCTTCCTCGGCAGGTTCGTATCGATAGTGTTGATGCCCTTGACCAGACATCAGAAATAAGAACTGGGGATTACAGATTTGTAGTCTTACGTAATGGCCACCTATAACTCAGTGAAAGCACAAATGGAAGCATTGGAAATCAGAATTGAGAACCGGCTGCAAGAAACACTTAATGATTTCAAAAAGAGTCTATTGGAGAGCCTCAGCAAATTTCAACAAGATAGGGGCTCAAGTTCTACGTTGCATAGATCTGAAAATACAGGAAAATGGCCCCAAGACTGTGACATAAACTATTCATACATGAAGGTGGAATTTTCGAGATGGGAAGATGGGGATCCGACCAGTTGTATCTTTGGGGGAATTTTTTTTTTCATTTTCACAGAACCCCAGAAGAATCCAAGATAGAAGTGACCTCAATCCAGCTCGATAGAGATGTAATCCAGTGGTACGATTAGTATGAAACTTTCCACGGAGTTCCTTCGTGGGAGCAGTTCAAAAGAGGGCTTCTTGTTCGCTTCGGCCCATCAGAATATGAGAATGTTGATGGACAGCTCGTCAAAATTCATCAGACTTCTATAGTGTTAGAATATCAGAGCAGGTTTGAAAGATTGTCAAATCAAGCTAGAGATTGGTCGGAACGATAACTTTTGGGTACATTTATTGAAGGGCTTAATCCAGAGATTCGATATGAAGTTAAGGCTCGTCAACCCCGCACCATGATAGCTGCGATTTCATTTGCACATCTGCATAAGAAAAAAATCAGCATGGAATACCGTCGAAACAGAGGTGTCAATAAACAGGTGAGCAGTAAGCAACCCACCATATCTACTCCCAGTCGAAATTCTATCACTCGCAGACTAACCTGAGAAGAACTCAAAGAAAGATCAGCGAAGGGTTTGTGCTATGATGAAAAGTGGAGTATGGAGCACCGATGTAAACAAAAGCAACTTCTGATGATTGAGCCAATTGGAGAGGAACCGAAAGCAAAAGAGTTGGACTCCGATCATGAAGGTGTGGAAACTAATGAAGATACTGAAGCCATAACACATACAGTGCATGCATTGGCTGGCTACGCTAACCCACAAACTATGAAAAGGAGGAACTTTGAAGCATCAGCCTATCACTGTTTTGATTGATACGGGTAGCACTGATAATTTTATGGACAAGAAAGTTGCAGCCCGATTAGCTTATCATATTGAAGGCTATGATAGATTCGAAGTAAAGATCGCTAATGGATTGATTTTAACTTATGATAGCAAATGCTCAAAGATAAAATTGATTATACAGGGCCAGGAGTTTCTTGCAATGATTACTACATAGAAAGACAGACCTATTGCTTACACTAGCAAAAAGTGGAGACCATACTTACTTGATCAACGGGTTGTGATGCGTTGCAGATAGCCTATGGTTGAAGTACTGAAAGAGAAGCTCTCCGAGTTTGATGCTACTCAACCTTAAGGACAAGACTGATTTGAATAGGGAGGAATTGTTAGGACCCTTTTATGAGCTTTTGAATAATGTTTATTGAGTCTGTTATGAACTCTATAAATAGTGATGTAACCCTTTCTTTTCGGAAATCAATCAATCAATCAATGAAATATTATTCAGTATTATGACAAAACCCTAGGAGGTCGATCCCCTCCTCGAAGCGATCATTCCCTTTTCTCCCCTTTCTTCCCTGATAAGACCTTACGGTCTTTTCATCATAGCACAAGAGATTGAAGCGGCAGAAAGAGTGCAGTGTTACTTGACAGCATCATGGTCGAGAGAATCCGGATGCTTCTTGAAGAATCTCTTGACATATACATCCTCCGGCATTTCAATCTTCCTGATCTTCCCATCCGTCCGTGGGAATGTCACCGGCGGCGCCCTGTGAAACCAATCGTTACAATCAACCTGCCTCCAGCAAGATAAAATTTTGCTTCCAGAATACATGAAACCAGAGACAGAAAGAGCATCAGAAAGGGTGTATCAGATAATCCCATTCCAACAAAGTTCGTCTATCTGGTTGATGAGAGAATGGGAGGACAGAGGGGCGTACTCTTCCATGGGTTTAAACCACACCGGGGTAGGCTTTGCGAGACCCTTCGCCAACTTCCTTGTCCTGGATAGCAAGTCTCCGCGCATGTACGACATTTTCCCCTTTCTCTGTTCTATCTAATCTGCCTGCTGAATAGAGAAAGCAAAGAACAGCTAAAGCTCAGATTTTTTTCTGCTAGGATGCCCCAGCGAGAGGGTGGCAACCAAATGTAGCTTCTTAGACTCATATACACAAACACCTGATGGGCAAGAATCATCACCACAAACAAAGGACGAAAAACTTCATACAGACATAAATACAAACATCTACAAATCAAATAACACCATCACAAAGAAATTTGAAGACGGAAATAGCATCGATACAGATCTCTCATTTTGCTCCAACGAGAAGCAGCGTGAAAGAGAGAGAAGTTGAGATCAATCACCTAAGGGCCGTTTAGGTTACGGAGAAAGTGGGGCGGAGGGGGGGGAGAAAAGTGTCCGACGAGCACTAGTCATATATCTTTCGGCATCATCATTCATTTCACTCTCAAGCTCCACCTGTCACGCCGCATGCCTCTCATAGGGTCCGATTTTAACGGACGGTACTGATGCGATCTGAGGACGAATTTGAGAACAACGAGCCTCTTTACTACTTGGAGAGGTTCCCAACCTCTCTCCGATAAAACCCAGTTGAACCACGACAGACCGGTTCGAGCGAATCCGTTCTCGCGCGGCACAGGTTAGCGTTGCGGAGGCCTGACAGAGACGACAATGGCGGCGGCGGCAGCGTTGTTTCGGCGGGCGTCTTCCCATCTCGCTCGTCTCCCTCGCCCTCTCTTCCCCTCTGACTCCCTCGAGAGCCCCTTCGCTCACGGCTCCTCTGCGGGGTCCCCGTCGCTCCCTGGCTTCTCCTTTGACGCCTCCATGGAGCTCATGGCCGTTCCCAAAAAAAACGTGCGTCCTCACCCTGTCTCCTTCTGGAGATTCGATTCGCCGATTATCGAATATCTATTGTTGACTAATGTGGTTGAGTGCTGGAAAGATTTGTTTTCTTTCTCTAAAAGTTTGGAGTTCTATAGATTTTAGTCTCGGAAAGGAGGCTCTTTGTTCTGCTAACTTAATACTTTAGTTGCTAACTGTTCATTTCTCGTTTGGCCTTTCTTTTAGTTTTATTTTGTTTCCGTTAGAGGTGTTGTTGTGATTTAACATCGAGATGAAATGGAGTCGGCTTGTTGTTCGACCTACCAAGTAAATGCCCACAAGCTATTTGATGATTTAATTTGAACATCATGAGACGATTGTGCTTCATACATAATCATGCATCGACTTACATGCAATCTATGCGTGCTGATCAGTGGACCGAACGCGATGATGCTCCGGATAGATGGCATTTACTTTCTGTCCAGCAAAATCGAACTTAATTGTTGCTTTCTCTTTTGGTAGTCTTTTGCTGTGTTGTGACACTTATCCTAAATGCAATACCTTCTCCTTGTCTTTTCTGACATGATTGTACAAATGTTGGCAGCTTCTCCTTTGAAAACAACATATTGATAAGTGTCATTTTACTGGAGTTTGTCAGACCACTTTCTTTTCTGTCTTTATTCATGTTGATCTTGCCTCTGAAGATTCAGAAGTTTTCTAGTGTGCCAAATTGTGTACCATGTCTCCTTTGTGCAAGTGATCCAACTTTATGTGTCAGAAAATATCAGCATATTCATCGAACATTATGTGTTCATGAGAATGTCCAATGATATTACATCATAATGTTTGCAATGCAGGTTTCTCGGCATAAGAAAGGACTGAGGAATGGACCCAAGGCTCTGAAACCTGTTCCAGTGATTGTTCGTTGCAAGTAAGATTTGCTGCTCTATGTCCTGGATCTAGTTTGACAAATCTCTTCATCAATTATGGTTGTAGTTTGCAAACTAATAGAATTTCCTGGAGTACCACATGCCAACAAATAATGCATTTTCATCTGCACAGAGTTCCAATTTTTGTTCCATGGATTAACTGCTAGAGTTCATAAGGATTATCAAGCTAACTTCGACCAGCATACCAAACTTTCAACTTCTCTATCTGTTCTGCTAGTTTTTACATTTTAGAACTCTGAACAGATAGGATGTCCATCAAGAAGCAGTTCAGATTTTTACAATTCCATCTATATTTTTTCAGCAACTCAGAGAGTTGGGTACAGATGGCATCCGTAAAGTTTTTCAATACTAAACACATTTCATATATGGAAAATTTGATAAAGATCACCAAGTTTCAGTAAGTAAGATGTGACTGATTGTGTAGGTAACATGTTTTACGTGGTTCTAACTAATATTCCTACACTAAAACCATATGTACAGAAGTTAAAGCATACAGCTAAAATTGTGTTAGTTTATGCATTATCTTCAATCTTGCTGTTTAGCAAAGGCTATTTTAATGAATCCATTTTTATTGGATTGTAAAATGAGCAACATGATATTGGTGAAGTTGGAAAATCATTTTTATATTTATTGAGCATGTTAAATCAGTCCTAGTGCACAACTATTATCTACAGAATAAATAAAGGACGAAATTGAAGAAAAACTTCTTTTAGAACTGTCTCACAAATTTAGGTAAATCTTGATTCTTTTTTGAGTCAGCTCCAAGGATCGAGAATGAATTATTGTGAGAGAGGAGTGGGGAGAGTGCACGTGTAATTGCTCATGACATCTAGTGACACCACCATACCAGTGAGGTATGGGGAGAGTGCACGTGAATTGCTCATGACATCTAGTGACACCACCATACCAGTGAGGTACTACATTCTACTTCAGTATATACTGCATATCAACCACTTAGTTAGATTTATGCCTTTTTTTACAATGCAAGGCAATGCTTGTTAGAGTCATTTGGTCAATAAAATAATAGTTTCTTTGAGTAAATAAGATCCAAAAGATTGTTTCCACTTCCACTCAATGCTAAGTAATACCGAGGGTCATAGCTGAAAGATGAGGGCATGGTTGACAGGTTAGATAACAGACATCTTATATATTGCACAGTGGCCATACACAACCCCAGGATCAGCATATTTTATTTTCCTGAAATATGACTTATAACCGTACCATAAAAGAATGCTGTCGTATGTGACAAATTGATGCATGTTCTGCATGTTGACATTTAATGTTCTACTATTCCTAGAAAAGTAACATGTAATTTCTATCAAACATTGAATTGTTCAAGCCTGCTTGAGCATGACTATAATAGTTTTTGTTTAGGTAGACTTAGAATTTCATTTTTAGATGTTTAACAGATCCAGCCTCTGCTAGATGTCTTAGATCTAGTTTGTATCAGCTTTACAATTTCATGAGCATGGATATACCACATGCTAGCCATTTCCTGATCTTTTGCTTGTGTTGCTTGTTCATGCAGCCAAGATTGATGTAAATCAAACAGGATCTATCCTCTTAGGTTTTGTTTACTTGCAAAACAAAAGTGTACTTTCATCTTCAATCAGGATGATTGATTCTAGGTTTTGATACTATAATAATGCTAGAGGTACGAGTATTTTAGACCTGTGTATTGTAGATAGGTGGAAGTGAATTATGAACCCATATTTGTACATGTTGCCTGACAAAGCTGTATGCTGCACAATATGATTGCCGTGAGTATGTTTAGGATCAGAACTAAATTTGAAAGTTATTGCTACTTATAGGATCCTTTTCCAGGAGATTGTTCCAAGAAATATAAATGGATCATTGGGCAAGAGATTCATCTGTTAAAACGCACTTCATTTTACAGTCTTGTGTAATCTCTTAAACAAATTGTTTCAAACAGCAAAAGAATAATCTGACTTGCAAATTTTGGAAAAGCAAAATTGCCTTGAATCAGCATCATTGCTGGATAATGTTTTATGTTGGTTGAAATATTTCTGTTTAGGGCTATAAATAATCACTAGATTTCTGTCCCCGTTGAATACCTGTTTTTGAATGAGATCAAATTGTCAATTTATATACCTTGCAGGAGTTGTGGTCGAGTTAAGTTGCCGCACTTCTACTGTTGCAGTGGAGACACGGGAAACAGTGGTCTTTCAAGCTCATGAAAGAATTCATGATATGTGATAGAGCATCAAGCTTGCAAAAGGATAATCTACTTTGCTTTAATTTATCTACTGCAAATTTTATTTTCTCAGCTACACTATTCAGCTGTGTCCTATCTAGGGTTTAAGTTTGTGAAACAAATTGGAAAAACATCTTTTCATGCTTATTTCCAACGAAAAGATTGCAATATCATCGATGTACTTGTTACAAACTTCGACTCTTTACGTTTGATTCAACTTCTTGCTGTTTTTTGTATGATTCATGTGTTCTTCTTGTGGCTAAAAGGACTGTGACTCTTTGGTTATTTCATGATGAGTAAATGCAGTAGCTTCTTTAGTGCAAACATATCGATGCAGTAAATCATTTATACGAATATTCTTTAAGATTCGTGCTGGACCAAGATGACTTAAGCCATCTTGAGGTCCACGCGGCAATTTCTGGTCGAGTTCCGGAGATCTAACACGAGGCGAGCTCTTCGACGTTCCTCCCCTCTCGTCCGTTCCGATCTCCGTCTTCGACGTGGAATCGTTTCTTCATTCTTCGCTATGGTTAGAGACTTAGAGGAGAGGGAGAGAGTGATGGGAGGGAGAACGAGGAGGGGAAGGAGATGTGGACTCCTCGGATCCTACATGCTAACCCTGGCCCTGGCGTCGTTCCTTGCGGTGGCACCGCCAGCCCGCGCATTGCGGTTCGAGCTTCAGTCGGGCCACACGAAGTGCATCTCCGAGGACATAAAGATCCACGCCATGGCCGTCGGCAAGTACGCCGTCGTCAACCCCTCCGATTCCGCCCCTCTCCCTGATTCCCACAAGATCACCGTCAGGGTAACAATCGCCTCTTCCCTTTCGAACCCTAATCGCTCGTTTGTTTTCGATCGGTGCGTTCGTGAATCTGTAGCTTGTTTGATTTAAACTTATCAGGTGACTTCGCCGTATGGCAATAGCATCCACTACGCGGATCAGGTGGAGTCCGGTAACTTCGCCTTCACCTCGAGCGAGGAAGGCGACTACTTGGCGTGCTTGTGGGCGCCCGACCACAATCCGCCCGCCACCATGGCGGTGGAGTTCGAGTGGCAGACTGGCGTCACCGCCAAGGACTGGACCAACGTTGCCAAGAAGGGTCAGATCGATGTAAGCGAATTGCCTTGTCTTTTGATTCTCTTAACGTGCCTGGTTAGAGTTTAGATGTTTACTGTAGGCCGGTTCTTGCATTCCAAAGGGAAATGTTTTGATTGTTGAAGTAACACAGATTTCCGCTTGAAGAGACCTCTCATGTAAATCGCCTACTTCTGATCTGTGACCGATCTAGGTCACTGTAAAAAAATTTTCTGAAAATATTGATGTTTCTGCGTGATTTCATATCATATGGATGAGTGAACATTGAGTGACTCTGAAGTTTGGTGGCTTTGTCCAAATTATTCTTGAATCGCTTTTCTTCTTTTGACAATTAGTTCAGAATGCCAAAGGATATTTGTATGACTTCCTAGGAATGTATCACAATTTGTTAGGAGATGTTAAGTTCTTTATCATTGACATGGACCTTTCTTTGCAACTGCATCTCTTGGCTAAGATATGCATATGGATGGTGAAATCACACAAAAGTAATATGTGATAATTAGCTTGTGCTGATCAATTACTCTACCATAAAGGCCATGCAAGTATAAGCAGATTTTTGTTATGTGCTTTTTGTTTGCTAATGTATGTGCTCCGTTGGCTTAGTATATGAGTTGGTGAGATTGTATGATCTCATAAATGATGGTTCTTTTGTAGGTATGTCTATAGTAATATATAAGATGAGAGCATGAGAATGTCATTATTGTTTTGGTTTTCATGTGTAAAACCCATCAATGCAGAGGCTAATAGCTGCTTCTTCTATTGTAAATCCACAACATTAGCTATATTTACTAATTTACATATAACTGAACTTTTATCATAATCTTGCATGATATTGTTGAGGACGAGCCTTAGTTTAATAATAAGGTTGTTCCTTTATAAAATAGATGACTCTTATTATTTCTTTATAAAATAGATGACCACAGTTCGAGTCATGGAAATAGCCTGTCTATATGGAGAGGGAAGATTGCATACATCGACCCTCAAATTCTGCATTGGCAGAAGTCTCGTGCATTGAGTTGAGTTGGTCCTTTTCATGTTATTGCTCGATTTTGGCTACCTCTTATACAATGCTGTCACCGAGCAAGCAGATCATTGCAAGCAGGTCAGCAAGCTACCCACTTAGTGGAGGTTGTTTCCAGGCAGCATCAACGTGACAAGAGTATTAGAAACAATCGCATTCGTATGACAGTAAGAAGAAAGTGCCCATTGTGGTTTATAACCAAAGTTAGATTCCAGTTAGAATTGTGTTGATATCAAGGAATTCTGTCGTTTGCAGTTTGGTATAAGAAACATAAGGCGTTATGTTTTGCTTGGGGAGACAATGTTGTTTCCCCTTGAGGATTCTGTAAGATCACAAGTTTCTGAAAAAGAAATTTGACTGATTAAAATTTCATTTATTGGACAAATTTGATCAGCAATAGTGATTATTTTCTACAAGACACAATGTTTCTTCTCTCATCTAATACTCTTTCTTTGTTTCCACTTTTAACTTTACCTATCTCTTGATGCTATGAATACCTGCAGAAAGCACCTTTATAGTTCTTTCAAGGAGTTGAAAGTAAAAGCTCTGCTGTAACCACTATATATATTTGATAAATAAAATTTTTGTGTGACATTAGTTATTATCAGAACGCTGTGTGTTGTCAAATTCTTTCTTTGGCATGCAAAATTAGTGTGATTCTCTGATCTGTTATACTTGACAGGAAAAGCTGAACTTGGTGCACATCCATACTGCATAATTTGTCCAAAGTCAAAACAGATTTTTATCATACTGTATAGTCTATACATTACTTTTCCTACCAATCAATCTACATGCTTGCTAACCCTAAAGAACTCCCATTCTTGAAATTCTTCGGATGATGGTACTTTCCTCATGAGATGTTATCTTTTCGACTTTCGCTCACATGACTGTATTAGAGACTGGATCGTGAAATTGCCTTCCAGTTAAGTTTCTTCATGCTGACTAAATCTGCACTTTGGTACAAAGATCCAATGTGTGATTAATATAACTGTTTTGTTGTTTGGTGGATCTTTTAGTGTCATCTCTAGGCATGAAATTAATCATCTTTCTGTTGATCTTATGTAGGTCATGGAACTGGAGTTGAAGAAGTTGGAAGATACTGTTAAGTCCATCCATGATGAAATGTTTTATCTCCGGGAAAGGTATACATTACATAAATTCATCTAAACTAGCATCAGCAATTTTCTATCAACATGTCTGTTGTACACTGGGAGTTGTTGGGAACCTTTGGCAGAGGATTCTACTATCTGAAATTAAATCTGATATTTAAGTAGTTATGTCATGATGTCTGTTAAACTGTTTTATCTTAAACCAGTATTTTCGTGTGTTCCTTCTTTTTGTAAATTTCGACAAGATTTGATTTGACAACTGGGGTTTTTATCAACAGGAACTTTACATACATTATGCTACTAAATTAACAGAATCGATCTTAGTAATTTCATTATCATACTTTTTGGTGGTTGTCATTTGTTTGTTTCTTACGATGATCCAGGGAGGAGCAAATGCTAGATATGAACAGATCTACCAACTCTAGGATGGCTTGGCTAAGTTTCCTCTCTCTTGCTGTCTGTCTTTCAGTGGCGAGCTTGCAGTTATGGCATCTGAAGACATTTTTTGAGAGGAAGAAGCTGCTGTAATTCAGCTTTCTAGTCCATGATTTCTGGAATTGATTTATCCTAGGGTATCGTGGAGGATAATCCAAGTTGCAGCTCTGAGAACCTGATGTTCAACATGGTGTTGTTCTACAGATTCTTTTGTTTGAAATCCAAGCCATCGAGGTGACTCAAATCTTTGAGTCTTCTAGTTGTCATCTACTTGTAGACAAAAGTTGATTGCAAACTGTTAAATATATCGTACCTCATAGACGATATATCTACGTAGGACTAATTTGCTTTTTCAAATTTTAGATGGAGAATTTTGATATCATCATACTACTGACACTCGAGAAATCTGATTTAATCTGAAATTCCTTGTCCAACCACAATTTGTTTTAGTTTCAGGCGCCAAAAGAGTTGTGTAGTTTTGCATGATCCAGAATCAGTGGGGAAAACACTAAGAGAAGAATAATTGTTTGCCCTCGGTTTCTATTATTTATTTCATCATCCAGTTTGCAGTTGGTCATCTTTTGTTGTGATAAATTATACACAAACCTTTCAGCTCGTGTTTCGTCATTCGATAGCAATACTGATCTCAAGTCATTCTTTAGGTTTATTATAAATATGTTGGAGGATGCAATTATTACCAAATCTATTCCGTTCTCCTACTCGGCCATTGATGAAAATAAAATGCACTTGTCATTTCCTGTGCGTTACAGGAAATGATCGATTATGTAGCTTTAGGTGCCTCGAGATTGTAGAAAAAAAACAACAAATATATCAGAACATTCTCCTTTGAGATTGTTGATAAAATCGACAACCTCTCATAAAGGTGACTCCTCTCTACCTACAAAACAACTAATACAAATAAATACGGACACAACGCAGAGACACTCCACCAGTCACACATTGACACAAACAAAAGGGCACGCGTGACACACCAGCTAAAGATTGATGGCGTTATGGCTTCGGGCACTTGGCCCGCAGCACGCACACGCTGTCGTACTCATTCTCCTTCCTTGTAAACCTTCTCGCCTCGGGTGGTTGAGACTTGAGAATATGAAAACACTCGGGAGGCGCCCATCTTCTACTGCTCCACCTTGCTTTCATAGCAATACGTGGCTCCCCTACTTACTCAAGCCAAGCCAACGAAGCAACTCACAAGTGCACCGACGAGAAGATCAACAAGGTCGTCTCAGGTGGTTACACCGATCGAGAAGAAAGCTAAACTGGTGTCGACGTTAAATAACGCTTACTTGGGCAGCAGAAAAGGCGTCGTAGGCGAAGGACGCTGCTACAGGCGAGAGAGAGGGAGGTGAAAGCGGAGGAGCAACTTAGTATATGATGAACGCGAAGAAGTCGGTGGTGGAGGGAGTCGACCGGAGGAGGAGCTGCGAATGCTGCCGTGTGACCGCTCTCGCGCTTGCTCGGTGTATTATATTTCGGTTGATGTTTACCAAGGTTATTTTGGGATTTTTTTTATTATTATTTTTTCTTGGTTATTAAGGGATTTCAAATGTGAAAAACTTGTATCTAGCAAATTTTCTTGGTTATGGTGATATGCAAATTAGTATGGTCGTATAAATTAATTTTTGCTGGCCTCTCACGTCACACACGTCACGTCACTTAAAAAGTGTAGAATAATCAGAATCAAAACACATGACCGAAACAAATTTTTTAAAGATTAATAATCAAATAATATATCAAAAAATTCATTAAAAACTAAGTACTTATTGCTGAAGGAGAAATCAATCAAATAGATATCTCTCATAAATCAGTCCAAATCCAAAATATCTTCTCCCACGTAAATTTGAAACAACTCTTTTCTTAATCCTCTTTAAATCCACTAGACAACATTAAGAGTATGGAAAGTGTCTTTCTTTGTATCTTTCTTCTCCTCAAAACTTTAAGGTACATAATATATTTATAATAATAAATCCTAATTCACTAAGAATTTTTATTTTACTTAATTTTTTAATCATAATTCTATTTCAACAAATTAGAATCTAATTATAATTCTCTAATTAGAACTCCTAGAGATGTTTATCAATCCTAACAATCTCCATCTTACTAATTTTTTTTCTTTATTTGTGCATCCTTTTGAAAACTTATAAATTATTGTTTAAAAAAATTAATATAGCTATACGAATGAATTAGTCAAACACCTGATTCAATAAGTCACAAATGCATCCAAAGTAATCAGAGTCAAATCAGTGATGCCACTTGATTCTAGAAAGATACCTCTATTTCTCTATTTTATTATCATTAAGATTTTCTCTCTCATAAATGTCAACATTTTGAATATCATAAATATCTTCTTCTTTTTTTTATCTCACAAATGAAGCTCCTTGTATAGCTATCATCCCCTATACATGCATGGTGTTTTCGATCATTCGAGATTTTTACTATACTTTCTTTCAGATAGTATATTTCTTGATGTAATTTTCATTTTATTAGGACTATGCAACCCTATATAATTTTTAAAACTCTATTACTAACCTTGTCCTCGTAATCCCAAGAATCTATAAGGCTTAAAAAATAATTCTTTCGAATATAAATCACATCATCTAAAATATACATTATTTCATCAAATATTTTGATCTTTATTTTATTTGTACTCATGACCTCCATTGTCGAATCATCACTCATATTCAACTTCATATTCAATTTACTATTCAACTTATTATTTAATGAATCAAAATAATTCTTCTAAGTAGATATTGTTAGAAACGAGTCGACACTAAGAGGGAGATAAAATTACGTCGGTTCCGAAAAAACTTCGTTTCGATTAAAACCGATCTTGAAAAGATAGCTTGAAAGTATACTGAAGAGCGTAACGGATGTAAAGCAAGTAAGTTTGCAGTAAAGGTAAATTACATAAATAGAAATGTAAACCGAGTTTATAGTGGTTCGACATCCACTCCGCTGATTCCTCTTTCGTCGAGGCCACTGGCATCCACTATCGGTCTTCCTTTAATGGCGAAGACCAACCACCTTTTATAACTCTTTCTCCTTTTACCGGGTTTAGGAGATAACCCTTATACCCCCCACTTACTCCTCTCTCAAACTATTCTAACATTTAGAACTTTGAGAGGAGTTTTACATGCAATTACAACAGAATTTTCTTTCCTTTTTACTCTCAATTGTTTGTTGTTTAACCAGGAATGAGAGGGGTATTTATAGGCCTCAAGTTGATTCAAACTTGGAGCCTAAAAATATCTCATCCCCAGTTTTCGGGGTCCTAGCGGTACCACCGCCTACAACACTGACACTGGGCGGTACCACCGCTTGGAAGACTATGTCTGGGTGGTACTATAGCCTGACACTACCACTAGACGGTTGTGCCACGACGGTGCCACCTGTTGGGTCACTGTTTGGGGCTTTCATTGGACCAAACACAGTCCATACATGGGCCTAACTGGCCCATAATTGGGTTGGCCTAATTCCAATCCTAATTATGTGCTAACTATGAAATCTAAGACATTTACGAAGCTAAATAAGTCCGTAAGTCTAGGTTTCTTCCGACAATCTTCCGGCGAATTTCTGACGATCTCTCGGCAATGTTCCAGTGGACTCCCGGCAAGCTCCTGGACTTCACGATAATCTTCTTGGCAAGTTTCGATGAGCTTCTTCGGCAAGCTCTTGGACTTCTTGGTCAATTCCAGTAGAACTTTCGACGACCGTCTAGACTTCCGACGAACTCTTGAACTCCCAATGAAATCGGGTCCTTGACTCTAGGACTTCATTTTGCTTTATGCCTTGCTATTGTAGTTAATCCTACATACATAAAAATCTACTTCGATCTAGAAAATTAATACTAAGCTAATCAGATGTTGTCCGGCATGTTATTGGCATCGACGCTTAGTCTGATTTTTCGGTGCATCGTCCTCTCTTGCGGCCTATTACCCAATCGACCAGTTGACCTCCTCAACTCTAATTTCCTTGGCGTATTATCTGCTCTTGGCTAGATGCCCGAACTCATGGCCCGAAGCATTCTGTCGATATGTCGACTGATCCTTCGGCTTGACGTCCAATCTTCTGACATGTTTTTCTCTGGCCTAACATGATTCTTCCTGCTTTAATTGTCTCTCCATGATCGAAGCTTCCTGTGTCACTCAAAACGCAGATCAAATCATAAACTCTATTAATTGGTTTCATCATCAAAATTCGAGATTCAACAGTTTCCCCTTTTTTGATGATAACAACCAATTGATCACGGAGTTAACCTTAACTCCCTCTATCAATATGTCATATTGATAGAACTCTTGGATTAAAAAATCCAAGCAACATGTTATCATAAAATTATGCATAATATCATCATACTTCTCCCCCTTTGTCATTAACAAAAAGGAGAAGTATAAATTTCAAGTGTTTGAGATATTACTATTCAAATCATTACATTATAAATATAATCTCAAGTTTTATCTATTAGGGACTAGTTGGCACTAAGAGGGGGGGGGGGGGGGTGAATTAGTGCAGCGATAAAAAAGCATTGGTTTGAAGAATCTTCGTACGATTAAAACCGATCGAAAATATGTTTAACTTGAAAGCATATGGAAACGTATAGTGGATGTAAAGCAAGTAAGACAGTTTGCAGTTTAAAGTAAATTGCTCAAAACAGAAATGCAAACCGAATTATAATGGTTCGATCGTCGTGACCTACATCCACTCCACTGATTCCTCTTCCGTCGAGGCCACCAGCATCAACTATTGATCTTCCTTCAATGGGCGAAGATTAACCATCTTTACAACTCGATTCTCCTTTTGATAGGTTCAGGAGAGAACCTTTACAACCCCCCTTACTCCTCTCTCAAACAACATAAACACTTAGAGCTTTGAGAGGAGTTTCACACATAATTACAATAGAAATTTCTTTCCCTTTTTACTCTCAGTTGTGTGTAACTTAACCAGGGATGAGAGTGGTATTTATAGGCCTTAAGTTGATTCAAACTTAGAGCCTAAAAAGGTCTCATCCTGAGTTTCCTCGGTCCTGACAGTATCACTGCCTATACTGGGCGATACCACCACCTGGAAGACTTTGTCTGGGTGGTACCACCACCCAAACTGGCGGTACCATTGCCTGACATTGCCACTTACCACTGCCCAAACTGCGGGTACAACTGCTTGACATAGTCTTAGAGACTGTGCCACAACGGTGCCACCTATCGGGTCATTGTTTGGGCTTTTTATTGGGCCCAACATAGTCCATATATGGGCCTAACTAGACCTAATTGGGTTGGCCCAATTCCAATCCCAATTATGTGCTAACTACGAAATCTAAGACATTTACTAAGCTAAACAAGTCCGTAAGTCTAGGTTTCTTCCAGCGATCTTCTAGCGAACTTTCGATGATCTCTCGGTAATGTTCCAGTAGACTCCCGAC